ATACTCTGCGAAAAACCTTCAAATAATTTTTGAAATTAATTCAATTGAAATTTTTATTTAGATAGCAAGAAACATATTCAAAACAAATCTTAAAATGTCACGATTTGCAATTTGTAATCTTGATAGAGTTGAAAAAGAATTTATGTGGAGCGTTTGTGGCCTGCAAAATTTTGAATTCCCTTCAAATTGTTATGTGAAAACTGAAAACTTTCCTTTGGAAAATAGTGACGAATCATGGTAAGGAAATTTATAAAGAAAACTTGACTAAATTTGTATTAATTTTTATTTACTTTGCAGGTTCATTAAGCTGATGAAAGATGGTAGAAATTTATCATTCTCTTTCGAATGCGAAAATCTTCCAAGCTTCGTCGCCAACTTCGAAGTTAAAATTGTCGCTGATCAAGGGCGAGAATTGTGCATAGAACAAGTGATGTTTTCACCGGATTTCTGCTCGAAACATTTCTATATCAATGATTCAACAATGGTGGTTAAATTCAAAGTTTGTTATGAAATCATCAAATCAGTTAAAGTAAAGGAAACTGATGCAAATGGGATCACCAACGAAACTTATATGGATAACTTCAGCAACAAAACTGATCCAAATGCATTCAACAACGAAACTGATCCAAACGCGATCAGCAACGAAGTTTACTCAAATGCGTTCAGCAATGAAACTGATACAAACGCGGTCAGCAACGAAGTTTACTCAAATAACTTCAACAACGAAGTTTACCCAAATGCGTTCAACAACGAAATTTATCCAAATGGACTCAGTAACGGAACTGATCCAAACGCGGTCAGCAACGAAGTTTACTCAAATGCGTTCAGCAACGAAACTGATCCAAACGCGGTCAGCCACGAAGTTTACTCAAATGCGTTCAGCAATGAAACTCCTGGCACTTCTTCAGAAGATGAAGTTATTGTCATCGAAGATGATGACTCGGATGATGATTGGAATGTTATCTCAATGAATGAATCAGTTGATGGAAATATTCATGATGAAGAAAACAACACTGCAAACGAAGACGGCCATCAGACAACAATTGATGATGGCGAAGAAGAAGAATTTTTTACAGAAGATCAATTCACGATTCTCAATGCTTCCTCAATCGAAGAAACTTCATCAGTTGAAGAAGAATCGGAAGAACAAGCAGCAATGATCAACGATCCTCGAACAAATCATCATATTGAGAAAGCATTTGAAAAAATTCCAGCATTCCTTGATATTATCAATAATGAAACACCGGAAAAATGGGAACATCTACAAAATTTATGGAGAGACTTCGGCGATGTGGGGCTGCCAAAAGAGGTTCTCAATGTTTGGGAAACCGCTTTGTCCGACCACATAACTTTAGAAAATTTCTTTAATATGTTTACATTAGCTTACATTTGCAAATTTGAAAAATTGAAGGAATTTATCATCACCGATTTCATTTCTGAATATGAAAATGAATATGAAGAGCTGTTTAACTCAGATGGTTGGAAGGAGTTAGAATCAGGAGAGAATCGTTGTCACGTGGTCTTCGATTTTGTTAGAAAATTCAGAGAATGCTATGAATTTCTATGAATAATTCGTTTATAGCAAAGGAAAATCTTGTAAAATGTAATTTGATGTACTTAAATATAAAATAAAAATATTTTCAAATCCCAAATTTCCATTGATAAATTTTAATAAATTTTAGAAAATTTTCTTTTTACAGATTGTTGAATCAAATAAATAATTTTTTGTCACACTGCATCACTTAAGCTGCAGAAAAAAATTTAATTAATTTTCCAAATATCTCAAAAGTCTTTTAAGAGAAAGAAAAAATGATAGCAACGAGGGCAACTGCATTTTTTTTTTTTTTTTTTTTTACTTTTTTTTNATTCAACTTATTTGTAGTGGTTTGAGCTTGTAGCCATTTCCCCACTTGTTACTAATAGTAACTATTTGTATATATTTATACTAAAGGGCCGAAGTATCTAAACTTCACTCTACCTCATGACCAAGTCGGGGTTCGAACCCGGGACGTATGAATTGTACGCCCGACTCCAAGCGACTTAAGCCAATGAGGCTATTTGACCCCTTGGGCAACTGCATATTAAACTTGTTAAAATGAATTCGAGTTAATTACAAAGTTGATACTTCTGTGAGGTTATTAAAGGGAAATTTTGATAATTGGAAAATTCCATTAGATGTAAATTCCATTAGTAAAGTATGTAAGAGACAAAACAATATTTAAAAACACTTCCATTAATCTGTTTTGAAGTTTAATTAGTGAAGAATTATCCTTGAATCTTAATTTGACTTTAATCCTTTTTGTGGGAATTCCCCATGAAAATATTTTTCGTACCTGTGCACAGCTGTGTATGTAAACGCATCCAACATTTATTGCACGTGTTCATTTATTAACTAAACAATACATAAACAATTGAGATGATACAATTAAGTGGACATCTGTTAATCCTTTAAATTTCTTAAATTCCCTCCCACTTTGAGAATTTTTCTCTCATTACTCTTCAGCTTCTTGAAAGTTATAATCAAGGCAGGTTTTTAATTCAATTCTTCAGTTTGAAAGACACAGTCGATCAAGAAACATCAGAATTTTTATACTCTGCGAAAAACCTTCAAATAATTTTTGAAATTAATTCAATTGAAATTTTTATTTAGATAGCAAGAAACATATTCAAAACAAATCTTAAAATGTCACGATTTGCAATTTGTAATCTTGATAGAGTTGAAAAAGAATTTATGTGGAGCGTTTGTGGCCTGCAAAATTTTGAATTCCCTTCAAATTGTTATGTGAAAACTGAAAACTTTCCTTTGGAAAATAGTGACGAATCATGGTAAGGAAATTTATAAAGAAAACTTGACTAAATTTGTATTAATTTTTATTTACTTTGCAGGTTCATTAAGCTGATGAAAGATGGTAGAAATTTATCATTCTCTTTCGAATGCGAAAATCTTCCAAGCTTCGTCGCCAACTTCGAAGTTAAAATTGTCGCTGATCAAGGGCGAGAATTGTGCATAGAACAAGTGATGTTTTCACCGGATTTCTGCTCGAAACATTTCTATATCAATGATTCAACAATGGTGGTTAAATTCAAAGTTTGTTATGAAATCATCAAATCAGTTAAAGTAAAGGAAACTGATGCAAATGGGATCACCAACGAAACTTATATGGATAACTTCAGCAACAAAACTGATCCAAATGCATTCAACAACGAAACTGATCCAAACGCGATCAGCAACGAAGTTTACTCAAATGCGTTCAGCAATGAAACTGATACAAACGCGGTCAGCAACGAAGTTTACTCAAATAACTTCAACAACGAAGTTTACCCAAATGCGTTCAACAACGAAATTTATCCAAATGGACTCAGTAACGGAACTGATCCAAACGCGGTCAGCAACGAAGTTTACTCAAATGCGTTCAGCAACGAAACTGATCCAAACGCGGTCAGCCACGAAGTTTACTCAAATGCGTTCAGCAATGAAACTCCTGGCACTTCTTCAGAAGATGAAGTTATTGTCATCGAAGATGATGACTCGGATGATGATTGGAATGTTATCTCAATGAATGAATCAGTTGATGGAAATATTCATGATGAAGAAAACAACACTGCAAACGAAGACGGCCATCAGACAACAATTGATGATGGCGAAGAAGAAGAATTTTTTACAGAAGATCAATTCACGATTCTCAATGCTTCCTCAATCGAAGAAACTTCATCAGTTGAAGAAGAATCGGAAGAACAAGCAGCAATGATCAACGATCCTCGAACAAATCATCATATTGAGAAAGCATTTGAAAAAATTCCAGCATTCCTTGATATTATCAATAATGAAACACCGGAAAAATGGGAACATCTACAAAATTTATGGAGAGACTTCGGCGATGTGGGGCTGCCAAAAGAGGTTCTCAATGTTTGGGAAACCGCTTTGTCCGACCACATAACTTTAGAAAATTTCTTTAATATGTTTACATTAGCTTACATTTGCAAATTTGAAAAATTGAAGGAATTTATCATCACCGATTTCATTTCTGAATATGAAAATGAATATGAAGAGCTGTTTAACTCAGATGGTTGGAAGGAGTTAGAATCAGGAGAGAATCGTTGTCACGTGGTCTTCGATTTTGTTAGAAAATTCAGAGAATGCTATGAATTTCTATGAATAATTCGTTTATAGCAAAGGAAAATCTTGTAAAATGTAATTTGATGTACTTAAATATAAAATAAAAATATTTTCAAATCCCAAATTTCCATTGATAAATTTTAATAAATTTTAGAAAATTTTCTTTTTACAGATTGTTGAATCAAATAAATAATTTGTTGTCGCACTGCATCAGTAAAGCTGCAGAAAAATATTAAATGAATGAATTTACCAAATATTTTTAAAAAACTTTTAAGAGAAAGAAAAATTTATATCTAACAACGAGGGCAACTGCAAATTAAATTTGTTAAAATTAATTCCACTTAATTACAAAGTTAATATTTATGTGAGGTTATTAAAGGGGAATTCCCGATAATTGGAAAATTTCATTAAAAATCTACCTTGACAGAGTTTATTTTAATTTATTTTTAAACTTTTTCTAATTGCCTTTTAATTTATTTTCATCTCAATTCATATTTTGGTAAATTCCAATAAACACATGTTTTGCATCTGTTTATGAAAGTTCCGTCAACTTTTAATTCACGTGTTATTTATTTCCTTAACATTACAAATACATAAATAATTGATCCTAAATTCAGCGTATGTCTGGATACCTTCTAAATTTCTTAAATTCCCGCCCATTTTGAGAACTTTTCTCTCATTATCCTTCCACTTCTTAAGAGAACAAACTTCTAAAGGCTATTTTTAATTCGAAGCATTATCAGTTTGAAAGACACAGTCGATCAAGAAACATCAAAAATTTTAGCACACGCTTTGAAAAATTTTTTAAATAACTTTAAAAAAATTATTTACATTTGTTAGTTTAACAGCAACATTTGACAAAGAAACATCAAAAAATTCTAAAATGCCTCAGATTACAAAATTTTATTTTGAACGCTTTCACAAAGAATTTATATGGACAGTTTTCGGTGTACAAGACTATGAATTTCCACAAAACTTCTCTCTGAAAACCGAAAGCTTTCCTTTCGAACTTACTGACGAATCATGGTAAGAAAATTTAAATAAAATTGAGTGAATTTAGCTTAATTACCTACTTTTTATTTATTTTGCAGGTTCATTAAGTTGATCAAAGTTGATAGAAATTTATCCTTCTCTGTTGAATGCGAAAATTTCCCAAGTTCCATTCTTAACCTCGATGTGAAAATCATTGTTGAACCTGAAAATGAATATTCTATAGATGAAGTGGTGTTTTCACCGGAATTCTGCTCAGAATATTTCAGCCTCGATCATACAGCAATGTCGTTTCAGTTCAAAATTTCTTATGGGGTCTTTTGCGCATCTACAGTAACGGAAATGGAAACTCTAGACGAAACTGACGAAAATGATATTTATGACATCATTGAAACTCCTAACGCTTCTTCAGAAGAACTAGAAGTCGTTTCCATCGACGATGAAGAAGTGGATCATAATTCGAATATTATGACTGCAGTGAATGAACCAGCTGATGACGATGATCATCAAGAAGACTACTTCAATTGGATTGTAAACCTTTGGGATGAAGAAAACAGCACAACAAGCGAAGAGAGTGAACAGGAAGCAATTGACGATGTTGAAGAAGAAGAAATTGAAGAATCTTTAGTAGAAGACCAAAATGGAAATGCTTCGTGGTCCAGGGAAGCGTCATCAATTGAGGAGGAATGGGAAAGACAAGCAGAAATGATCATCGATCCCAAAATACATGAGTATACTCAACAAGCATTTGAACATATTCCAGTGTTCCTTGACATCATCAATGACGAAAAGCCGGAAAAATGGGAATATCTTCAAAGCTTATGGAGAGATTTGAACGGTGTGGGGATACCAGTTGAATATATCAATGTTTGGGAATCCGTTTTGTACGACCACATAACTCTAGAAAATTTCTTTAACATGCTGAAGTTAGCAAATATTTGCAACTTGGAAGGATTGAGAGATTTTATTATCACCGATTTCATTTCTGAATATGACAATGAAGAGTTGCTTAACTCAGATGGTTGGAAAAAATTAGAATTAGCAGAGAATCGTGAATTCTACAAAGTAATAATGGTGAAGTTGATTAAATCAAAAAGATAATTTTCTGATATTTTTGTACTTATGAACAATGTTACGAATTGTAAATTGATGTACTTATGAAAAATAAAATAAAAATATTTTAAAATTCAAAATTCTCAATGACTTCATCATAACAGAAGTTCAATTTCTCTTATTTTACAGGTCAGGCATGAAATCAAATTAAATTAATTTCAGTAAGGTAGCAAATTGTAACCATACAAACAGTTTTTGAATTTTGATTTACTACAAATTTCGTTCTAAATTCATTGGTAGGTTTATTACTTTTGAATATTTACGGGGAATTTCCTATCATATGTTTATAATTTATTTTTACATACTTAATTGTATTTTAATTGATTTGATAAATCTTAATTTGATTTTAATCCCTTTTGTGGGAAATCCCAATGAAAACGTTTCTCGTACCTGTGTTTGTTAACCCCTGCAATATTTAATGCACGTGTTTCATTCATTTACTAAACAATACATAAACAATTGATCCTAAATTTCAGCGGATATCTGTTAACATTCCAAATTTCTTAAATTGCCTTTCAGAATTATTCTCTCAACACTCTTCAGCTGTTTAAGCTTTAATAAAGACAGTTTTCAATTCGAATCATTAGTTTGAAAGACGCAGTCGATCAAGAAACATCAGAATTGTAAGCATACGCTGTGAAAAGTCTTTAAATAATTTTAAAAAATACTTAAATTGTTTGTTAAAAAGATTGATAAAAAATATCTCAAAATGTCGCAGTATACGAAAGAAGTTCGTGAAATTATTGAGAAAGAATTTGCATGGAATGTGTTTGGCATTTACAAATATAATTCCCCAAAAGATTTCTTTCTTAACTCAGAAGTTTTTAAATTTGAAGATACCGACGAAATATGGTAAGAAGTTTTATAAAGGATGACAAAAATGAATTTTAATTATTTTAATATTTTTTCCCAGGTTCATCAGATTAAGCAAGGACCATAAAGGATATTTAACGTTTTCTTTGGAATATGAAAATCTTCCAAGTTGCATTAGCAATTTAGATGTCAAAATTATTGACCATGGAGACGACGAACTCGATATTCAAGACGTTTGGTTTTCACCATCATCCGCCAAAACCTTTTTTGATTACGATAAATACACCGAAATGATGGAATTTATGTTTAAAATTTCTTATGAAATTTCGACCACTAAAACGGTGACGGAAGACGAAATTTCATCTGAAAATGAAAACGACGATAAAATGGATTGGGATTCGAATGATGAATCATCTGAAAAATACTACGAATGGTACGGAACATTCACGAGTGATGTCGCAAAGGATGCAATAATCGAAGACGAAGACGAAGATGGGCCCTTTTACGCAATCCGCACCCCAAATCCAGACCAGCCGCCAAACTACTTGAACGCACTAAGAGATTGGCAGTCTGACAGTCCTTTCTCCCAGACTGCACCCATCACTGAGCCTGAAGACTTTTTGGATGAAGATCACATTGCACTTAATTACCACGATTCTTACTTGATGGGTAAAATGCCTTCATTTTTTGGAAAGGAATACGAGAAAGTGGCTGCTGAGCTTATTGAGATCGAGAGAAAGGATCATTTGATGCGTCACACACAAAGTGCTATAAATGCAATTCCCGATTTGTTAGACATCATCAATGTTGGAACACCAGACAAGTGGGAATATCTACAAAACATGTGGGTTTATTATGAAAAGCCTCAAATACCAATTGAGGTTCTCAATGTATGGGAAACCGCCTTGTCTGAAAACATAACTTTAGATAATTTCTTTAACATGCTTAAGTTAGCTAATATTTGCAAATTTAGAAGATTGCGAGATTTCATTGTTGTCGAGTTCATTTCAAAACAAAAGAATGAAAATTTAATTAACTCAGAAAGTTGGAAGCAATTGACATTAGAAGAGAATCGTAAGATGTATAAAGTTATCGTACACAAGTTGTTGAAATTGAAAGAAATGAGAAAGAATGTTTGTTAATTATAATTTGATGTAAATAATTATGAAAATAAAAATTTATTAATCTAAAATTTGTAATGATTATTTCTTAATAAAATACAAAAATATTATTCTCTTATTTTACAGATTAGAAATTGTCGTCTTATCATATTTGCTTCTAGTTACGAATATAAAGTTTAGAGTTTGTTGTTCCCACCGCATCAGGTAAGCTGCAAACATACAAAACTTTCCAGACATTTTTCAGATTAATATATTAAATTTTTATTGGAAATTAATTAGGTACCAATAAATTCCCTTTAATTCAGAAAAATTATTCAGGTTTAGGTGTTCACATTTGATTGATATGAAAATAACTCAAATTGAAAAGCTCAATAAAATTTTATGTCTCTCCTGAACTAATTAATGATCATAAAAATTTTATTGCCTGTTTCAAAACAAATCATTTGTAGTCACATTAATAGTCAAATTTTCGATTTTTATTTCAATTGAAAATTAATTTACATTAATTAAGCGATACAATTCAACACTTTCAACGAATTTCTCGAAATTTCTTAATATTTACCAAAGAAGCTCTCATAATGAGATTCTAATGTTGAAATGTTAGCAGAGACTTGATTAGATCTTTCATTCCTGGAATTTAATATCAATAATTCTGCTGATATTTCATTCCTTTAACTTCACATTCACCACGAATTAAAGAAAAATTATTTTTGTGTTAAGAAAAGGAATTTAAAATGTTAACGTAAAGCAGATGCTTCGTTTTGGGAAGAAAATTTATTGCATTGAAAAATTATTCACGATCAGATAATTTAGTTGACATTTTCATTGAAGTAGAGCTTTTCGTTTTTCCAAGGGAAATATCTTTAAATTACAATCTCACGTGAAGACAAAAAATATTTATGGCTCTTTTATTTTCATTCTTTTTTGGATTATTTTCACTGATGGCATTTTGGAAAAAGAAATTCTATTCACAGATGTTTCCAGGGAATGAAATTTTATGTTCTTAGTATTTGACAGTTGAACATTTGCGTGGGCAATCAGGAGAAAAATTTTATCGTTGAAGATAACTGAATATTGGGAAACGTCTCTAGATGCTAAGATCATTGAGCTTTGAATATTTACAGCCAATTCAATACATTCTTATTTAAAATTTAAGATTTTAACAAGAATTTCAACAAATGCATATCCACAAAATAATTCGATTGAAAATGATCGCGACAACAGAACGATTTGTTAAGCTGATTTCAAATGCTCAATGAAACTTATATACCATATGATACCAACTTCTTCTTAGATGTTTTGAAAGAGATTTGTTTTCTGCCAATGCCTTTTCAATATCCAACCATCTCTTACGTGCTGAGAATAAATTTGTAAGAAATCGAAAAAAGGAAAAAAGAACATCGATGAGCAAACTCGAGAGAAAGTTTTTAAACAAAAGATTTTTTTCACGTTCATTCAATGAAGCTTTAGTGAAACTTTTAAATTCAAAACAAACATTTTTGTTTCAAGCATTAAAACCCGTCAGTTAATTAAAATATTTTTCCAATGCTTGTTAAAATCTCTGCTGTTGAATTTCTTTCAAGTCGTACATTCAAGTGAAATTCCGTCCAATTCATTTTCATTTGCTTTTATACATGCTACAACTCGAAATTGGAAATGTCCATTAGCCAGACAAATACATAAATTATGCAATTCTATCTTACTCTGTTCACATGAGAGTTCAGACTGGGAATTCATTCAAAAGTTGCAGGACAAGATGAAACTTTTTTTTGTGTGTCCATCGCCTTTAAGATTTATTTGTGGTTTGCGTTGTGAATTGAAAGGAATTTCGCTAGCGGGTTGATATCCCAAGGAAATGGATTGGGATCAGTCTAGAGAAATTGAAAGCCTCAATTGAAAAGAGATTTCTCTCAAAAGTATTTATAAAGCGATAAATCACACAAACAAATCTAATAACTTTTCTAGATTTATTTCTTTCGAAACTTTCTCTTCAAAAAACACAATTTTTTGTTCTCCTTCCTTGTTTTCAACATCGATCGTAAAGATATATGTGAGAAAATGTAATTTTACATGAAATTGATTCAATTTATCAACGTGATATCTCGTTTTATCATTTCAGTTGGAATGATTTATTTCACACTCTCGTTATTTATGTCTTCATACTTACATATGCTTACGTAAGAGTTGAAGAAGTTTGAATCGTTAAAATGCAATAATTTTGTGGTGAATTGTGAAGAAAGATTGTTGAAGGAATCTGTGAAGGTTTAAAGTGAACAACAAAGGAAAAGGGACAATAGCCTTAGGATATCTCACTTAACAATTTCATCAAATTCCAGTTGAGCCATCATTTCATATCTATTACAATACCAAAACTCGTAAATTAATTTAAACCACTCAACCTTCAACACTAAACAAATTGATTGAATTCCCATCAGACTTTTGGTAAAATTGGAGATGAATTCAAAAACATGGCTTCGAAAACACATAAAGCAGCTTTCATATTAAAATCCAACCAAATATTTGACTGTTGACATCTGTCTGTGGAAACTAATGAAATATCTACTACTTAATTCAGATGAGAATTTTAATTGCAAATGCGCTTTTTATTCTCATTTCAATGGGAATTTCGCTCGCTTTGATTGACGATTCTAAGCCTTGGTGAATTTCAAATTACTTTTGTATTACGGGATACTTCGTTCAATGATGATTGCACTGCATCATTAATGATGTTGAATAATTTATGGAACTAAGAACGAGCTACATATAATGGAGAGCAATTAAGATTTATATTCAGGCACTTTTTTCCAATATAAAATCTGAACAAGTTTTTCGCAGTATTTTTATGGTTCATTTGAGTTCCTAGTCAATCCTAAAGCGTTCACAATCTCTTCACTTATTCATGACATTTCTTTGCTTTAGTGTCGATTAACTGTAATGGCCACCTGAATATTCCAAATCGAATAAAATAAAAAAAGGATAACAAAAGCTGTGTAATGATGAAATTTGGGACGTGACTTTATGCTTGTATTTATCCAAGGAAAATGAGTTTCGAGTAGAAACTATCGTCGAGATTACTTTATCGAGAAACACTTATTTTTTAAGATGAAAAAAATCTCCAAATATCTCCTAAAATAAATTGAAAAGTCACGAACACTCCGAGACATTCTTCTAATTTCACAAAACTTTTCCCCCCTTAGTTACTCACTTAAAGTGAGATGGAAGTCAAAAAAGGAAACTTTCTGAAAACTTTAAAGCAGATATTTATTTTCTATTCGATAAATAAATCAATTAGTAAGAGAAATACTCTCACTTGGATTTTTCAACAAATTGATTGATTGCTTTTAACAATGTCGAAAAGTTTCGTCTTTTTTATTTTTTTTTAAAATTCAATTCAATTCAATTAAAGGTAAAACGTAAAAGTAAGTGATTGAAAAGAAAATTTCCATCAACAATGCTTTCACTCAACATAAATAAAGTTGAATAGGAAATTGTTGTTTGCATCTGAGTGATAGCGAGGGTAGAAATATGTGCAAACAATCTCAAATTGATTTCATAGCAATCGAGTATGGCTAAAATGTATAAAATAAAGAATAATTAAGAAATCTCAAGTGAAGCAAGCGAAAACTTGAGATAATTAACATAAATTACATAACAATTAATTTCCATCACTTCATGACTCTGAGTGGTATTTTTCTATCGTTATGGATTTTTCCTTCTGCTCTCCGAGCATACCATAAAATGATTTCTTAATGAATATGAATAGCAGATAATTAAAAGACATTGGAGGGAAGATGCCCCTAATGAAACATACACTTGAATGATTCAAAAGAATTGTTTTCATTCTTCATCATCAAATTCAACTTGTGAAGATTTCCAAATGAAATTTAAAATTATTCTATTGATGTTTAAACTTTCACGAACACAATAAAAATATTCAGGCAACATGATATTGTAATATATCCTTTAAAGAAAGATTGAAACATTGATACATATCACTTTGATAAATTGAATCAATTTCACGTGAAATTACATTTTCGCATTCGTCTTAACACCAAGAAACGTAGAAGCATTGAATCGAAAAAGTTGAAGATTAAATAAATCATCAAACTTATTGATTTATTTCCGATTTTCTAACATATTTCTTATGCAAAGTAAATCTTAAATCTCGTACAATTTTTCCTTGTGTCTCAACAAACAACAACATGAGAAATCGAGAGACATGAAAATATTTTTCGTTTTGTTCGCTTTCACAATTGCTTAAGAACTTTCTCCTTCTCCTTCTTCCTTTACTTTCATATGTAGGGAGATAGGATTGCATAATTTATGTAATTTATCTACGATGGAGCATTTCCAATTTAAGTTGAAGCCATCGTATAAAATAAACATGCTACAAGAAAAATCAGATTGGACTTTTTCCAATCTTTAACAAGAACGGAGACATAGCAATGAGTGAATCACAACATGAGATATTTTTTGTCTTCAGAATGTACGATTTAAAGACATTTTTTCTAATGCAATTTAAGTTTTGTTTCAAAGGAGATTTTTGTTTGAGAGTAGGAAGCATTTAAAAGTTAAGAAGCTCTGAAGTTTTGTGATAAATTGCATGAATTAGAGACAATTGACCACTTTCATAAGAATTAATGATTTCAATTTTATCGGCGTCTGTCTATTTCCACAGCCATCCCAACACTTTGTCACCGCTGTCTTATCTATAATTCACGAAGAAATGAGATTGTAAACGTGTAAATGCCAAATCTTTCGAGGGAGTCTTCTTAGAAAGAGAAAAAATCTTTTTTTAACAACACGTCGCTTCTATAACTTCTCCATTCCCAGCACGTCTCGAATGGTTATTGAAAAAGCGTTGAAAAAAATTCCTTCGTTTCGCTCAACAAATCTTTCGAAAAACGGTATCATATGGCATATCAATTTTCTTTTGAGTCTCACTTCTACTCGTGAACATTTTCGCTGTGTTTAACAATTTTTCAAACGATGCTAAAGCATTTTAACGTGATCAAATCAAATTGAAACAAAAAAAGAAAGAATAATTTTTTGTTAACACAAATTTCGTCTGTTGAGGCTTCGTTTTCTGTCTCGTAATGTCGAAATGATGGGGAGAAATTTGTGCGACACCAATATTTGAAAATATAAAAAAATTCAACTTCCACCGAGTTTGAAAGAATAAAAATTTTATTTTCCAGTTTCTTCGCCACATGAGACAACAAAATTTTATGATTTGAAGGCGAACTGCGAAAGCGTCAATTGCAAAATTGTGTTACGAAGAAAAATAATCGAAATATTGCTGTAAATATTGTGAGAAACGAGAAAATAACTTTCATACGTTTTCCTTTAAATAATTTTCTGATTTTTATGAAAATTCTTTTCTTCGTTTCCATCTGACAGTAGGAAACAAACTGGAAATCTTCTATCCAACTTTCCTTCTTAGTTTTAAAGCCAATAAATTCTTCCAATTCCTATGTCTCGCATACCATCTGCTTCTTATCATGATTATTTGCCAGTAATAGAACGTTTGATTGTCAAACTTTATTCTTTTTATGTGATAATCCATCGGATAGAAAAGACGAAACATTTTTATCGTTTCTGACATTTCCCTGACATTAATTATTTAACATCGGTTCTGGTTTCACTCTGTCAATATCAATTTGGTAATGTGTCGAAAAGTTTAAGATGACAAAGGGGAAAATAGCGCATTAAGTTGTTATCTCTTCGTTTAGGTAATTAATTTCTGACATGATACCGATATCATAAAGCGGATGGAAATAAAAGATTCGCTAACCGATAAGTTTGTTGTCATCTTCCACTTCCATTCAATAGAATTTTTCTAACTTTCTTTTGTGACTTTCACACAGATCATTGTATCTATTATTCCCCCCGATCATTTAGTTGATTTCTCCATAGATTTCTACTTATACATCAATTCAATAACGCCGCAATATTTTCTTTATGATATCGAACAAATATTTTTGTTGATATAAAAGCAAATATCCGTACGTTAGCTTCAATAAATACATCTGTACAAATATTTATTAAAGCTACTTGCTTTCACTGTTTATCGTTCTTTTCAAAAAGAAAAAAAAGATGAGAAGCATTTAATCTGAAAATGATGTCAGTTATTATTACTATAAGTATCTTTGTGAAGGAGCAAGAATAAATCTATCTTTAGATGAAAACTGATATCGATTATTATCATTAAGCATTTGCAAATTGAATTTTCACCTTTAATAAGCATTCGTAGGGGAGATTTCTCTTGCAGTTATCATCAATTTAAGCAAATGTTTTTGAATGAATTCTGAATTCATGACACGTTTCAAATGGTTATTGAATAGTGTTGCAAATTTTATACGCTTAACACGTTCGCTTAAGGATGTTGCATCACATGGCACTCGATTAGCTTCTCAGAGAAAATCGATTTTAGTCTTTTGTAAATACATCATCAAGAGAAAACTCTTCTTCTACTTTCCACATAATTCTTTAAAGCTTTCACTTCTCAAATCAAATAACATTTGATTATATTCCTAAATCTTAATTTATGTAACTTTGTGTTGTTTTCTATTGATTGATTCGAAATTAAGCCTAGCAAAATCTCATTAGCGGTAAATCGAAAAGTCTTGTTCAAATAATATCATTCACAATTCAATGAAGTCAGCATAAATAAGCGCCAATGATTCATCAGGAAAATCCCTCAAAAGATCTCTCTGGCTTTCCCTTTCTTAAGCATGATGGATTGTTTCATTATTTGATAAAGTCAAAAATTAAAAGTCGTTTCTGAGGGGTTAAGCGTTAAAGTCGTCCCTTCGTGACTCAGAGATTCGTATCAAAAGCTTCTCTGTTTTTGGAAAAAAGTTCTCTAAAGTTGAGAAGGAAAATTTGCAAACATTAACACTTCTTCAACCTTATGATCCTACAATGTGATGAAATATCAGCTTATTATTATCTCTCTGATGACACAAAGTGATATATTATATCATCACTCTTAAGAGAATCTCATCATGAAGCTGTCATCGTACATCGGATTATTTATGTCGACTCTCTTTTCATTTAATTTTTAATAAATTTATGTGCTTTTCATTAAGTGTTTTTTATGATATACTGTCAGCCCAAACGTTCTTTATACTTCAAAGATTTACTATCAAAAATATGTGTGTCAACGGTTGTGGTCGCAAAATGAAACACTTCCAACTGATTCTTGAACTGTTACCATCACAGATTACGCACAATCTCTCTTAAGGTTTTGTATCATAAATTTTTAACACCAAAAGCGACGTGATTGGACTTCGAATATTTGCCAATAAACATCTTGACTTCAATTCGAACTGATTCCAGATGTCATTGAGTTTGACATAAATCTAGTTCTATCTGTCTTAACTTGTTTTTATCGATTCTTTAACTGTGTCAGATCGTTGGATGGAATCATAACATAAGAAAACTTCTAAAAATAGCTACAATTGCTTGATTTATGAATCTCAATTAATAAATTAGGAAAGGTAAGAAAATGAATACAATCTAGGTGGAATAACAGTTTTTGATTTATGATGACTTTTCTAATTTTTTCCACTTACATCTCTTGATTATGACATAACTCGCACGACCTTTTCTTGTTTTAATAATTGTCGTAGTACAAAAGAAACATTTATTGCATTGTCCGCCTTCATCTTCTTCGAATATTTTGATTCATTCACTGGAAACTTTACGAAGTTTCATTTCATGATAAACAAGATCAGAGGAAAAGAAATTGTGCAATTTTCCACAATCATCAATCATTTTAAGCCTTGACGATGAGGGAGAAAAATATTCATCATATTGTTTTTGTAATCGCTGTCAAGAAGTGTAGACAAAATAAATTCGATATTCAGAAAAAATCTGTGGAAAATTAAATTGGAATGAAAAACAAAACAGAAAAAAATTATTTCAGTTCCAATGGATTTGCATAATTTGGATACTTCATGATATTTTGGTTTTTCTTACAATTATTGTGAATAAATATTTACAGAATTTGTCAAGTTAATGGAAAGAGAGTCAAGCAGATTGCATTGAAAAGACCAACATCGAAGCATTTTCCAATCGGTTCTAGCATTAACTTCATCTGCGCATGACAATTGCCAATTCTTCTCGTCGATCTTGATACGAACGAAAAGCTTTTCCCCCTTCAGATCTGCATCTCTGATACACATAATTCGTAAATGAACAGAGTTTTCCAACCCATCAGTCGTCTGGCGGGATTCAACTGAGCCGAAAGTGATTTGATTTTCGCACGGCCAATTAAATGAAGCATTTCACTTAATTTGGTTTTTAATCGAAAGTGATATTGTAGAGAGAAAGCGACAAAAATTATTCATTCTCTTATTGACACTTTGGATTAATCACTCATGTGATGGAATTGTACGAGAGTGAATATTAAAATTAACATATTTCGTCTGTTTGCATAAAACTACATTGTGGATTTAACAACAGAATATTAAAATGAATTTAACAAAATTGAAAATACATAAAAACATAGTTTGATGCTATTGCACTATGTGAGTTCGGAAATCATAAACTTAACGTATGCAGTGAATATAAAATGTAAAAAACAGAAAAAAAATATGTAAAAACTCGGAATTTGCAATTTTCCAAATTAGTTTTTTACATTGAAAACGTGAGTTTGTGCAATTTTCACGAAAAGCATATGAACATTATATATTTCAATATTGAAAATGCACAGCTAGAATTCAATTCCATTTAAGTTATCCTTTTTTCCTTGCCCACTTTGTAAACTTACGGGCATAAGAATAATAATATTGACAGCAACATAGACAGTGCATTTGCTTACAATGAATGATGAAAAATTAGAAAAAAGGATCAACGAAGCATAACATGAAGTTTAACGGATACATTTGCATCTATTTGTATGCTCTTTACACTAATACGATATCTTCGTCTTTGTCTGTCGGTAAGTTTTCATTCTCAGCAACGTGTTTATAAAGTTCGTGATGGTGATATATGATGTGGAATTACCAGACAGTTTAAATACATAAAAAGGATGAAAGTCATTCATAAAGAAAAGGAGAAAAGTGTCAGGAAAAAACTGTTTACACTTCTCTTCGAGTTAAAGATAACGAGTAAGTTTAACAAGGAAGGCAGACGATAGACATTACACTTTTATGTTTGTCGACATGCTGAGCAATTGAGTGAGGCTGAAGATAAAATCAGAAGCTTTTATGTGATAAATCTTCGATAATCTGTCTACAAGCTAGCATTAGAAATCACAAGAAATGTTTTGATGCTCTGTTTACAAAATAAAAAGAAGGCGGACAAAGGATTTCTAGATAAATGTTTGAGATTATGTTCGGTGTGGTTAAATAAGAGAAATGTTGAGAAAAACCTTTTAACACTTAGAACAATAGAACGATGCTACAAAGCCGCGATAATCTTGAAGTGTTGAAATGAAAATATTTATGTCTATGGGAGGGAAGGAAGGAAGGAAGAATTGTGAATCTTTTACTGATCTATCGTTAATCTTTTAAAACATGTGTAGACATCAAGCCAGACAAACAAGTTTTTATTTCTTCAGGAAACATTATTATAGTCTGATGAAGAAGAATAAAAAATATTTTAATCTGTTTGCATCTGGCAGATTTTAAATTTTTAATGGAAATAAATTAAATTGTCACAGAAGTTCCTTTTTTCGCTTTGAACATTAAAGCAACAAAGTCAACAACAGCAAGTGTTACTCAGTCAATTTATTTAAATCAGATATGAAAAAGAAAATACATTGAAGTGAAAGTTGAAAGTGCTGATAAAATTCATTTAAAAAGTTTTATAATTCAAAGTTAACAGTGGGAATATGAGAACGACAGGAGAAAATCGCTACACTGAAAACGCTTTAAGGATGAAACGTGAAACTTTATTGTGGAAAACGTCAAAAACTTTTTTAACATTGGAACTTTTTTTGTTGCTTTTTAAATATTTAACTGCTGCTGCATAATCGCAAGACTCTCTAATTGTTATTGCGAAGTCATTTGGAAATGCTTTTTTTAGTTAAAAAAGAGTGGAATAATTAAAGTCAAATCAATTAAAATTTGTGAAACGATAAAAAATTAAAAGGAAATTATTAAAGTTAATTTCATTTTCCGAGAAATTTGTCGAAATAAAAATATTTCTAAGTATGAAAACTTCTTCAATGTTAGAAATCTTCTTCAGAAGACAACTTAACGAAATCGTTTTGTACAACTTTCATGATAAGTTTAGCACATCAAAGACAGCACGTAACATCTCCAAAAAAACTGGCAAATCCTTAATAATAACTTCTCCAAAAGAATTTTCACACATATCTCAGCTTTTAACATCATAGCAATGACAAATTTCATTCTCACACGATTTAACACGAACAAGAAACTATTCTCAAGTCCGTGATACGAATAAAATATTCCCGTCACGAAACAGCAATGACCATGTAAAAACAAGTGCTTTGATTCCATTCAACAGTTCAAGAAGATCTAAATTGTGGCAACACAAATTGTTAACTCTTTAAAATTTCCTTTTTTTTCTGCCATTCTTTGACGACATGAGATAAGAGCGAACTTTTAAACTTACATTGAGTCAACATGATGATAACATTCTGTGACTCTGACAGTCATCAAGTTATAATAAATGGCTTCCATAAATGATATGACGTCGTATATGAACAGCGAGAGTCATTCCACATCATACATGATCCCATCTCATAATTTATCCGATGATTATAATTTTTTTTGTCTTTTTCATCGCAGGGAAGTCAAAGTCTGAAGGACCTGAACAAAACAATGGTCAGTAAGAGTATTTATGAAATCGGCTTTTCGTCAACTGTTCCATTAAATATTTACCGCACTCTTTACAGAAGCCAATTTTCCAAGGTTCGCTGAGCCAATACCGAACATAACAGTGACTGTAGGTAGAGATGCTTTGTTAGCATGTGTCGTGGATAATTTAAAAGGATACAAGGTACGATATAAGAGAATATCTAAGTTAAATGTACAAGGGAACTTTTAGAAACGACATCTAAAGCTATTATGCAAGGAGATTTGTCTGTGGATGAGATTTGCATTAACTCAATTTGTAAGCTTCTCAGCCTTTTAATTCACCACGAATTTTTCTTTCCCTTTCTTCGATTCTCTCTTGCTTGCTTTTCGAGAGCTTAATTGGATTTGCCCGTGGCATTCGTTTAAAGTTTTCCTTATTTGTTTTCTTTAGTTCTTTCTTGCTTCGATTCGACATTTTTATATCGTTTCGTGATCAATTTTTCTTTTTATTCTTCTTCATCTTCGATTCTCTCGATTTCGATTCTACAGCAAGGAAAGTTTCAACGTGATCTGATTTTCCAATTTCTTGTTTCTCGTGTATAAAGAACTGCACGATAACTTAAACGACTGGTGAACGAAACTGATTGAGTTTATAGAATTTTATAATACAAAATCTCCTTCCATTCATCTTCATTCTTCCTTTGGGCTTTAAATTAGGACGTAATTTTATTGAGAAGTAATTTGATGAAGTCAATTTCATTTATCGTTGCTTCTAAGGTCGCGTGGGTGCGAGTCGACACTCAAACTATTCTCAGCATTCATCACAATGTCATCACACAGAATCCTCGCATTGTCTTGACTCACAACGACCATCGAAGTTGGTATCTGCACATAAGAGAAGTGGAAGAGTCAGATCGAGGATGGTATATGTGTCAAGTGAACACAGATCCCATGAGATCACGAAAAGGTTACCTCCAAGTTGTCGGTAAAGTGTCGAAAGCTTTTTCTGTTTATCGCATTTCGCATAACATTTTTTGACTTTCAGTTCCGCCTGTTATCGTGGAATCGATGACAAGCAATGATATGGTTGTGAGAGAAGGGACGAATGTCACATTGACGTGTAAGGCTAAGGGCTTTCCAGAACCATATGTTATGTGGCGTAGAGAAGATGGGGATGAGATGTCAATTAGTGGCGAAAGTGGTGAGAAAGATTTTCTACAACTTCTTATTTTTTATGTTTCTCAGCACTTTTCCCTTTGTTTTATTTTGTGGCGATTTAGTGAACGTAGTCGATGGCGAAATCTTATCGATAACAAAAGTCAGCAGACTTCATATGGCGGCATATTTGTGTGTGGCATCGAACGGCGTTCCACCTTCAATATCCAAACGTGTACAACTTAAAGTGCAATGTAAGCAATCAGCAAAAGCTTTTAAGCGAAATCCGAAATATTTAACAACCTTCGTCATTTTCTTATTTCTTTCTTACAGTTCCGCCAATGCTCTCAATTCCAAATCAGCTGGAGGGAGCTTATGCGGGTCAAGATGTCATTCTTGAATGCCACACTGAAGCGTATCCTGCATCAATTAATTATTGGACGACGGAAAGGGGCGACATGATAATATCAGGTTCGTTATCATCAACATCGACGTCGAAACATTTCTAAAACTTTTCATCTCTTGTTCTTCTCCCTTGTTTGCCATTTCATTTCTGCAGATACCTCGCGGGCAGGCGATAAATTCGAGACGATTTCTACAAACAGTGGCTACAGCAAGTTCATGAAACTCAAAATAAGAAATGTAGGACCAAATGACTTTGGATTTTATCGGTGTGTCGCTAAGAACTCGCTGGGTAAGTAGACGACAATTAAAAAAGTGGGCGAAAGTTGATCTAAATTATTGATTTCTTAACTTTAATTTCGTCTTCTCTTATTTCGTCATTCCAACCCCCATTGGCAGGTGAAACAGATGGAATGATAAAATTAGACGGTGAGTTTGAGTTTTAAACTGCTTCTTCATATGACTTGAACTTCAGCTCGAGAGTTGTGTTTGGTGGAGGAAGTTTGAGACTCTCGAAAAAAGAAGGAAAAAGCGAAATAAATGAGATGGAACTAATGAAGAAACTTTTCTTTACAGAAATCGCAGCACCAACGACAACTTTGACTACAGAACTGACACTTTTTAATAAAAGTAAGCGAACATGCAAATTCTCTTTCATTTCTACCTCCAAACCAAGAACGAACAACTTCTTCATTACATTTTAAATGTTCTCGTCCTTTTTTTGTGTTTGCCACGAATCGCCTTTTCTTAATTTACATCATCGCACAATCCACGTGCTTAATTTCATATATTTGAGCTTCATTCATTAAGTCCTTGTCTTTTAATGAATTTGCGTCTTCTTTTGTGTAATTTTCCGCTTCAGTCAAGAACAAAATCATCAAAAAAACCAACTTGAACCAAGCCATGAATGACTACACCGACGAATGGCGAAACAGCGTGGCCGAAGCTGGTATTTACACTTTAATTCTCTGTTTACTTTCTTTTCATTAATATCCTTAATTGACTCTCACTCTGTGTTGATGACATCATTTACTTACACCTAAGTTACAATTCTACGGTGAAGTCACGTAATTCATTCATTCATTTCATTTTTAAAAGTATGATTAATGACGTCACTGAATTGCCTTCCAATAAATTTTAAAGTTTTATCTCGTCGTGCATTGATTTTTGCATTCGACTCGTATTTATGTTTTGACATGTGTTGCATGTTTTATGTTGTGCTATGAGAAACATGTTCACACAGATTGTCGCAACATCTGTTAAAATCAATACGTCGAATACCATCCGAGATATTTATGTGTGGAATTAATGACAATTTTTGTGTTCTCCTTTCATTCTTTTTATTATTCTCACGCCCCACGCAGATTATAACGGCGAGTATATGCAATCATCACGATCCCCGCCAATTCGACATCCGCCAGGTGCTTTTCATAACGCTTCACATATGTTATCTCATCGAAATGGACTTTTTGTGTGCTTCACATCGATAATTAGTTCATTCTTGATCCAGCTCATATTTCTGCAGTGGCATCATCGGTGAAAATTAATTTTCGCTTAAATATTTTGAAAGCTCTTTCGGAAGAGTTTTGATTAAAATGTTGATTTATTATTGTAATGGAAAATGAGTTTACTTATTTTTATTAATATTATAATTGATAATATATCGCAACGATGAAAATAGGAACATCATAGATAATCATTATTATCGATTATTAGTACAAAAAACTTTAATTTGAAACAATTGTATGGAAATAAATGAAAAAAACAAACGAAATAAAATTTTTATACGACAAACAAAAATTCGCCACTGAATTAAGGAAATTCTAAGTGAAATTGGCATATCATGAATTAAAGTTAGCGAAACATTTTATGGCTTCTACTTATAATCTTAAAGAATGAATAGAAAGAAAAATTTATTTCTTTGTCGTCTAGCGAGAGATAATTTTGGCAATTGAAGCAAATGCAATTGAATATCACAGACGCCAATGTTAGTTTTATTTTATGTTGATCCAAGCAAATACGAACAATGAAAAATTATGAAAAGTTATTTATTTGTGATACGGAAAAAGTCGTATTGAAATTAATGTTACTGTTGATGAGAAATTTCAGTCAATTGGAAAATCCTTTGAATTTTTCTTTCGTTATTATTATTAAAGTTGTAGTTAAGTCTCAGTTTCCGACACGAAACTTTTTTGTGTTCAGATCTTGAATTGATGAACGAGAGGGAAGCGGAGGAGTTGAACAGAGATTTGAGAAGGGAAAGAAGTTTGTTATGTAAATAGCTTGTATATATGATGACTGTGTAATATACATAATTCTATGCTTCCGGAATGTGAAACTTTATAAAATTCGTTGGCAAAAATATAATATTTTATCATCACCCTCGCCCTCGCCATCTTCTCGTATGGATTTAGTTACAGCCGAAGGCAACAGCTACCAAAGATATTTGAACATTTATTATGAGTTGAACAAACATAAACAGAAATTCAAACTGAATTTAAGACAATGTCAGACGATTTCAAGATGGAAAAGGAAGTCAAATAAATTGCAATGAAATACAAATTTGTTTAGTGATAAAAAGCTTCACTCACTAAATGCGTTAACGATGCAGCTGAGCTTCTCTTGAAGCTTCTTGTGCAGCAACTTCACATTTTATCTTACGAAGTGTTCAGCTCATTAAAATTCCATTATGCTGCTGCTTTGTTCAAAACTCCTGAATATCGTTTAAAACCTCAACTCCCACAACAAAGGCAACAATAAATCATCATGGACTTTTGTAAATCTTTCGCCTCATGTATAATCGCTGTTCATTTCATTATTCAAACCACAAAGTGTGAAAGAGAAAAGTTTTTATCCATTTTCCCAAAAAGTATTTTCATAATGTTTAATTCATGTTCGGTTCCGAAAGATTATCTCCGCTGCTGACTTTTCCTTTTCTTCGTGGGAAAAAATAAATTTATGAGGGGATGAAAGTCTCTAAATTGGTTGGAACTTCTCGAAGAGTTCACAAAGTTAATAACGAGAAATTTCATAAACGTGATGCTCCCGTTAAGAGAGGTAGCGGATAATTTCAAGCTAATAAATAGATAAGGGAAAAGTTTTAAGGATATCATTTTGCTTGAATTGCAATTAGTTTTGGGATTTTCGCTGCTTTGGAAAATGTAAAATATGGTAAAGGTTTCGCAACATTCTCATTGTGGTTGATGGAAATAAATTCCATTGTCATAAAATGGCCTCAAAAGAAATTAGGAATGTAGAAGTGAAAGATTCAAAATTAAAATTCTCAGTCTTGACGCAAGCAGCGTACCAAACCGCATTCCTGTTTTAGCCATGATTTGGGAAAGCTTGGAATTTTATTAGAATAAAGGAAGGTAAGAATAATTGCCGGTATAATGGTAAATGAGTAGCATAACAACACAAGAGCATTTTCTAACTCTTGTTCCATCCTAAAATGAGGGAAGTCAAGGGATACGAGAAGTTCGANCGGTCCGTTTTTGTTCCGGAACAAGTTCATGATTCATTTAAGGTCCGTTTCCTGTTCCGGAACAGGAAAAAGGTTCCGGACCGAAGCCCTGCAAAAATATAATATTTTATCATCACCCTCGCCCTCGCCCTCGCCATCTTCTCGTGTGGATTTAGTTACAGCCGAAGGCAACAGCTACCAAAGATATTTGAACATTTATTATGAGTTGAACAAACATAAACAGAAATCCAAACTGAATTCAAAACAATGTCAGAAGTATCCAAGATGGAAAATAAGTAAAGAAATTATAGTCAAATAAATTGCATTGAAAAAGTATTGAAAATAAAAAATTGTTTCAAGGAAAATAGTCCCCAACATATTAACTATGTTATGATCACCAATAAAATGCTGGAAGTGATGAGAAATTATGTTCGCTTAAAGTGATATAAGAAATAAAACCAAAACTAAATATCTAAATATGATATAAAGAAACTGAGACTTTTAATTTACTGTCAAAGGTTGATTTGTGTTTTATTCATTTCAGTTCAAATATCACGAGACTATTTTGGTGACATCTCCAAGTGAAACTATCAATCGTGTTATGTGCTGTTAACTGCTGACATATTTGCATGCATGAAATTTCTTTTATTTTTGTCGTTATTGAATTCCAATATTTTGTTGATTACAAAGTACAAATTTACTGCTTTTTCCTTGAATTTCTGAACATATTTTGGAATAACATATTGAGGGAAGTGTAAGCTATTTTTGTTCAAAATGTCTGACATGAAGCGTTTCTTTATTCGAAGTTCTTAGAATATTATTAATAATTTCACTGAGAATCTTCAATCTGATTGTTTTCATAAAATTACAATGTTTCATATAAATTAGTAAAGTGATTTTATTTCTAATTGAAGCATAATAACTTGTGTTATAATTATCAAAAATTATGTTTTTCAAACACATAATTTATGCTGTAACAACAAAATAATTTGTAAATATTTCCAGGAATTCTCCAAGGTGTTCTTCCATCATTTTCTTTCATAAAACAACCGATTTTCAATTTAACTCAAAGTTGTTTTAAAGTTTCAACACGATAAATAATATTGAAAAAATTGTGATGATATTTATTTTATTTTAACATTAAAAATGCAATTGAACAAACATGAAAAACGATGGCCAACAAAAAAGTCGTTTACTCTTTTATTAATGTTTTTATTTTTAACGAGCTTTGCTTGTTTAATATGAAACAAATGAAGTCACATAGAAATGTCATAAATCACACTTTCCTTTAAAAATTGTCTCAATAATTCATTGACATCTTTATCCTCTTTTTTTCAAAAGCAAACAGAGGATTCCAACATTTATAGAAAATTAAAAGAAAATCACGCGAAAAAGCAATAAATTTTAATTACAAGCTGTTCACTGTTTACACGATCACGAACAATTATTGGGCAATTAATTGCTTGTAATTTGTTCTAAAATTATAATAACTTTCATATTTATTCTCTTGTAAATACAAGCAACGATGATGGTTGTGAAAGGATCTGAACAATAATAAAAAAAAAGTGAAAGCATGTCATCGTCATTAAGATGCCCATAAACAAGACCATTCTTGAAATGTTTTTATTCTTCAAAGACTATCAACGTTGTTATGTTTATGTTGAAGTTGCTTGTTTTGATTTTGCTTTGTATTCTATACAGATTATCATGTTCAAGAAAAACAACATCGTTAATTTGAATAATAATTAAATTAATTTCTTGTTCTATTAAAATCTCCACAAAAAAAAACATTTATCTGCATTTTTAATGCTTTCAAAGCTTAAGTAGTTTCCATAGTTTCAACAAAGTCATGTTAAAAGGCTTTGCAGCTAAACGGAAAAGTTTTAAAGGTATTTAAAGTAAATATAAAACATTGAAGCGACTTTCCGAGGAGCTTATCTTAGATAAAGGAGGAAACATGTTAAGTGTCTCTAAACACAATGTCATGTTAAACTTGAGGGAAGAGTAAAAAGGGATCATCCCCTGTTTGTAATATTATCCATAATTTTAAGGTTCAATAGGGCGGAATAATCTTAACATTTTCTTACTCTGCTTGGTTTGTAATGGAATGTGACATTTAACGTGAGAATTTTCTTTTAAAAGCATGATACTTGACTTAAAATTATAGCCAACAATCAATCACCGATAAGATTTTCGATCCAATAAATTATTTGATATCAATTTTTGCAAATCAAAACGCCATTAAGTTGGAAAATTGCCGTCGATTTACTTCGACGACAGCAGATGTTTCAATTTATTTGCTGTTATTACGAGCTATCAATTTCATGAAAAAATATTGAACGTTCAACATCATCAAACATGAGCTTAAGATCTATGAGTTCATAACATCAGATGTTATTGATACGGATGGATAGGAAAATAAAACAAAAGAGGAAGGAAGAGAGAAGAAAAATGATATTAAGAGCAAGATTTTCCAACATGTGCTTCAACATGCACGTCAATATCACAACTCACAACATGCTGACTGATACCCGACCAACTCAATCAATATTGAAATTGATTTCCAAATCAGTGAGAAACATATGAATGAAAATTTGATCGAATTTACGACCAAATTCATTGGCACGAATAATTTATCAGCATACCAAAATTTAATTGTAGTCGTATTCACATTCAGTGAGCTGGCAAAAATGATAATCATCATCCATAAACAAGCTGTGAATGAAGTGAATCAAAAATGGAAATTTAAAGCCACAAACGTGGAACTTTTAAAATATTTAAGCGAATGAAATTTAAGCGAATGAAAGCAAGATTCTGAATTCGATGGGCGATGGAATGAATTCCCTGTCTTCATTATTAATTCATCTTTCATATTCATTTAAAACTGCTAATCTCTTGATGAAAAGCTCAGTCGATTCATCACAGCAAAAAAATGTTTCATCATTGTTGTGCTTGAGAGAAAATAAATTCACGTGTCCGTTTTTAAAAAGCAAACAGACGTCAGATATTTAATGATGAAGACAGGAAACAAGCGAGAAAATATCGTCGTGAAAGCTTCCCCTACTGAAATTCTACTTCGTCTTAATCATGCGCACATAAGTGATGAGTGTTGAAGAGGAAACTGATTCATTGCCAATGACCTCATTTCCTGAATCTTTTTGGCTCTCATTGCAAGCAATTTTCTCGTCTCACAAGATGCTTTTGAATAAATTTGCATAAATAAGAAACATCTTCAAAAACTAATGAATTTCATCAATGGCAAAATCTTTTCTCTTCAAATTCGAGCACAACATGAATCGAAAGCAGTGAAGAAAATTAATTGAATTGAATTTTTGATATTCAACTTTTATTTTAGATTTTCCTTGTTAGTTTAGCTTCATCATTGATATTTATTTGCTTAAACTTCTCGTCATTGATGCTTTCATGTTCATCGATCATCGTTGCACAAGAATTCTTGTTAAAAGTTTCTTCATTTATTTATTTTTGTATGTTCCGAAGAAATCATTTTACAATATTTTATCAAAGACCGAAAGAATAAAAGTTACGGAAATGAACATTGAAGATTTTCTTCAAATTTTCTGCTTTTTCTTTGAGAGTCAGAAATGCAAACATTTAACTGCTCAACTACTTTTCGGATTTAATTTTTTGTTTCTATTTTGTGTATTTGAAGATGGAAAAAGTTTTCTAAACTCATTTGAACGACAGTGAATGAAATATTTAAGTGATTAAAAAAAATAGTGCATTGAATGAAACTTTTATTGCTTCCCATAACAGTTTTGTCTTCTAAACATCAGAGATCGGTTACGTTAATCGTGAAAACCTTCCATCTGATATTTTAATTAAACTGCAAACGATTCTCATGTCTAACTTTGAACATTTATCATTGAAGAAATTAGAAATGTGCAGAAATGTCATCCAAAAGATCAGTTGACATTTCAAATGTTCGCCAAGTCTCTGATGAATAATGAAAAGTCGCTTTTTTCATAAGTTCTCTTCAAACATGAGTCGATGGATTACTTTACAATTTCTGACATTTTTTTCTTCTTTTTTATGTTGTAATCCGCAAAGTATTCGCAATTCTAAATCAATTGAGATGCAAACAAAATGTACTCGGAAATCGTCATGAATATAGATGTTAATTAACCGGTATTTTTCAGATTCCGGTTAACCTAGTAACCGAAACGAAGAAACTCGGTTAACCTACGGTTAACCGAAACCTTAAAATCATAGACCCAGCTTGCTTACCTGTGACTCACCCGCTTGCTCAGCTCAGCTCACTTTTTACCGTTAGCTCGCTTGCTTGGCTCACCTTCTTTTTTTTTTCGCTTGCTTGGCTCAGCTCACCTTTTTTTTTTCTCCGCTTGCTTGGCTCAGCTCACTTTTCCGGATTTTTGTCAGCTCACTTTTTGGCTTACCTGTATGCGACTTCTAAGTGAGCTGGCTTACTTTCATGTCCCGTGACTCTGCATTGTCCCCACTTCCACTTGTGACGTCACTTTTCATCGACCCCAAAAAAAAATGAAAAAAATGGGGACAATCAAAAGTGACGTCACCACTTCCACATGTCCCGTCACTTTTCATCGTCCCCACAGCTCACTTTCTGGCTCACCAAGGTAAGCCAGCTCACCTTGGTGAGTCAGCTCACTAAGCAGAAATATCAGGTGAGCCAGAAAGTGAGCTGTGGGGACGATGAAAAGTGACGGGACATGTGGAAGTGGTGACGTCACTTTCGATTGTCCCCATTTTTTTCATTTTTTTTTTTTTGGGGTCGATGAAAAGTGACGTCACAAGTGGAAGGGGGGACAATGCAGAGTCACGGGGCATGAAAGTAANCTTCAAATTCGAGCACAACATGAATGGAAAGCAGTGAAGAAAATTAATTGAATTGAATTTTTGATATTCAACTTTTATTTTAGATTTTCCTTGTTAGTTTAGCTTCATCATTGATATTTATTTGCTTAAACTTCTCGTCATTGATGCTTTCATGTTCATCGATCATCGTTGCACAAGAATTCTTGTTAAAAGTTTCTTTATTTATTTATTTTTGTATGTCCCGAAGAAATCATTTTACAATATTTTATCAAAGACCGAAAGAATAAAAGTTACGGAAATGAACATTGAAGATTTTCTTCAAATTTTCTGCTTTTTCTTTGAGAGTCAGAAATGCAAACATTTAACTGCTCAACTACTTTTCAGATTCAATTTTTTGCTTCTATTTTGTGTAGTTAAAGTTGGAAAAAGGTTTTCTAAACTCATTTGAACGACAGTTAATGAAATATTTAATTAATTAGAATTAAAGTATGTAAAGTTATCTAATTCAATAAAACTTTCAATGCTTCATATAAAAGTTTTTCATTCGATAATGATAATAAGTAAAGTAGGAAAACATTAAAATTCGTTTAATAACATTTTAATTTATTTCAATTGTCCTTAACGAAAAAGAATATTACAAATCATTTTCATCTATTGACCTCGAGAATTGACATCGTCTTAACAGTGACCGTCATGCTTATAAACAAATCCTGTAAAAAAGTTACTTAAATTTATAATCAATCGAAATGTTTATTATCACTAACGTCCACCAATAGCATTTGAGGCGTACATATCCAATAAGCTATTGAAATCTAAATGTTGACCAGTGCGTTGATCAGTCCCACAGATAATGGCGTATGTTCCTTGAACTGCGATCAATACAACGAGAACTGGAAACAAACTGTACAAATATTTTATAAATTAAAGAACTCAAAATTCCTACACAAGGTTAGAATTGTGAACTTCATTATTAATTTGCCTTTAAGACTCTTCTTGAAGTTTTAAATGATACTGAATTAGCTCTTACAATTCATAGCAATTTATATTAAATTATTTTCTACGATTTCACCATACTTGAGCAAGATTAAGAAAACGTAATCAAGTAAAAACTGTTTAATTGATGAATTGATAGGCAGGCTAGTGTTGCATGTTAAAATTTGTAAATATAAAAATTTCCTACGGTGCGAAAGTTAACTGAATATGACATGTCTACTTATTGATAACATTAATAAAATATACTGATATCAGCAACAAAATATATTTACTTAGAATTTAATTGTCAGTTTAATTTCAGATTGCTTTCTTTTAGTTTGATTAGTTGATGATCCTATTTTTGTACATATGTATGTCCTGATTAAATAATTTTATGTAGTAAGTATGAATGTCTATTTGAAGATGAAAGAACTTTTCTAAAATCATTTCAGAATTAAAGTGCATTGAATATTTAAGTGATTACGATTAAAGTACATGAAATAAAACTTTTATTGCTTCCCTTAATAGATTTGTCGAAACATTCAACATCGGTTACATTAATCATCAAAACCTTCCTGCTGATTATTTTAATTAAAACTGCAAATTTGAAACAAAATGATGACGAGATGAGAAATGCCTAGAAGTTAATTTTATCATAGAAGTTTACACCATTTACTAATTCTGACAATTTTGTTTCTTAGCGTCATTATTAGTTTGTTTATTTAATAAACGTTAATACAGAAATTTATGTTCTTTTATCTTTGGATAATGACAACATTATAAATTATTGAAATTCGTGGATAATAT